GAAGATTTTATGATTATATGATAATGTCGTTAGTGTATCCAACTGAGGAATTTTCGCGTGTTTATACAATATTTGAGTGCTTTTTTTTGTTCTTTGTACAAAAGAATCTCATAATAAGGAGGCTGTCTCTCTCCTCTGGCGTATTTCTTGTCCTAATGGAGGTACGAATTCCTGTGACATTTTTAATTGTAGTCAGTTCCATAATTGTTTGACGAATTTAATTTTTGCTCATAGCTTCAACTTTTCCCTATATTAATGAATCTCGAGCCTTATAATATATCCTAAAAGTTAGGAAATATGCGCGTAGCGTAACAATTCCGGCTCGTTCGCCAGAATTTGATCTTTGAAATTTGTGTGTGACACCAGTGACGTCATTTGTTTGGGGTCAGTGGCTTTCTGGTTGGCACGATGTCTGGCGCCCGTCTACCCGATCGGTGCCATCGATACGGACATTCCTCCACATTGTCACGCGGCTTGCTGGGGATTCCCCGTCCTGGGATTCTCCACCCAGTCACTTGCGCGCAAAATTACGTTGCTGTTGTCACTTCTTAACCGTAAAAGGCATTTGTCGAATAATTTTAATAAAAATCTGTTTAGCTGTACTGAAGTTGTTACGTAGAGAGACAGACAGACAAACATATGCCTCCACGGAAAATTTGTTTAAACCTTTTTGTTGCATATGTTTCTAAAAATACACTTCACCTGTATATTCAAATGTAATTCAGAAATACAGTTCTTATTTGAAACGTGTTTGGATATCGTGTGGGTATATTAATGAAATACGAGGAACGACTGTGTCTGACTGTTCATTGTGATTAGTTTCGCAACAGTGAGTTTTAGCATGTTGTAATATACGAGGTGCGATCAGAAAGTTTCGAGACTGTGTCAATAGAGGGCGAACCGGATGTAGTACGAGCTTCTGCCGCTAAGGGGTGCGGCCTACATTCATAGTGAATCAGTGTGCCAGCCGGCATCATCGAATTAGCATTTGTTTCTTAGTTACGGGCGTTTTGGTGTTGCATTACACCGACCCTCCTGCGATTTCGGAATGGCGTGTGCATCAAATTTTGCCAAAGACTCGCCAAAACGGCTACGGAAACCTATGAAATGCTAAAGCAAGCATTTGGGGAGTCCGCAATGGGTCGTGCACAAACTTTTGTGTGGAATTCACGATTTAAAAATGGCCGAACCTCTGTCGATGATGACGAGCGTGCTGGACGACCATCTTCGAGCACAACGCCCGAAAATGTTACGAAGATTCGGCAGGCCAGTCACGAAGATCGACGTCGTACCATCAACGACTTGTGCGACATTGTTGGGACCTGTCAGCTGATTCTAAAGGAAGAACCCCCCATGCGACGCATCCTGTCTGAGGAATATAAGCAGAATCGACTTCTCGTTTGTCAGGAGCTCAAAGATCTTGCAAGAACCGACCCCAAATCCCTTTCTAAGCTCCGTGTGACTTCTTCCTCTTCCCAAAGATGAAAATTCAGCTAAAGGGAAGGAGATGTGAGACGATAGAAGAGATTCAGGCAGAATCGCAGATGGTGCTTGACAGGCTGACAAAGAAAGATTTCCAGGGATGCTTCCAGGCTTGTGTCTGCAGAAAATGACGTTCAATGAGGTAGGCGATATCAGATCATTTATTTTTCATTGAAATGACTCTTTTAATTCAGTTTTGACTTGTTTGCAAAGTGCCCATACATCCAGGCCACAGTACAACTCCTACAATAAATGCGAGTAATACTGCCGGTAAGTAACCAAAGATTTTCATCCTGACTCGAGTACGGATGTGCTTTCGGGTCTGTGACCTTAGATCGTGTAATCTCGTCTCCGAAACAAACAAATTTTGACTCGGCCCCCTTCTTGTTTTCGAGCTAGTTAGAACTTCCACGTCAGGACTCAAACACAGGGCAGTTTTTGGTGATGTGACGTTTGATTCTGTAATCTTTTCGAAATATTGCCTCTGCTCTCTGGCATAATTGGAGCGTGCAGGGAGGCGACAGATGTGTTATGCCACATCAGTAATATCGGAGAGGAATGTATGCTTTTCCTGAACTGTGTAGTTTTTGTTCGTAGAACCCGCCAGTAGGTCTGTGCCAGCTCTTAAAGTAACGTCGTTTGTATCCAGCCACAATCTACTAGAACTGAAGCGACTGCTTAGAATTTTACACTCTAATGGCGCGTAACAATTGCTTCTCGAGATGTTTGCTTGTTTTTATCATTCGTAATTTTGTTACTACGGCAACATTTTAGACGATTTTGTTACTAAGCCTCAACCAATAAAGGTTACAATAAGGAAAATAAAAGAATAGCGATTATGAAAGTTTTATGTATGCTTTTTCTTAAAGAGCCATATAAGCTTCACGTACTTAATAGTTTTGGGAGCTGAAATGGGTCCTACCCTCTGCAATGAACGTCACTTTTACCAAGATATACACTTATTGACTTTTAGTTATGTGCTGTGAGAAAACATGGTCAGTTGTAGGCCCTCGCCGTAAACTCGTTCACATTAGTACTTACTGTAATGTATAGCGTAGAAGTATAAGTTTGAGGTGAGAATTGTATAAATGTTTAAAATAATTATTATATTTGTTTACCGTCAAATCACAATAAAATAGTAAGATAAGATAATTAAAATGATTAAAATATCATCTTATGTTCCATATCGAGCATTCGATTTACATCGGAACATTCACAACATGTTTCGGTTTATCAAACCGTCATCAGGTGTAAATTATAAACTTTTAAACTCAAATTACAATTATTTATAGTTTTTACAATTTTATAATTTTATCATCTTTCTCAGTATATTTTATGAAAGTTGTGTCTAGATATTATTAATATAACATTATTGTTATTGCAGTCAATAACGAACCTTGTTCTGAGATGGTAACACTTCTGGATCTCTCCTCTGAACACATCTGAACCGATTGCTATTTCATATATGACTGGTAAAACATCAAAACACCACCTCAACAATAATGTTATATTAATAATATCTAAACACAACTTCCAAAAAATATACTGAGAAAGATGATAAAAGTATAAAATTGTAAAAATATAAATAATTGTAATTTGAGTTTAAAAGTTTATAATTTACACCTGATGACGGTTTGATAAACCGAAACATGTTGTGAATGTTCCGATGTAAATCGAATGCTCGATATGGAACATAAGATGATATTTTAATCATTTTAATTATCTT